TGGGTACACTCCTTCATGCTGTCTTCCTGGCTCTTCTGGCTTGTGCTTGAATACTTCCTGGACTGTGCTACAACAGAATCCCAGTTTGACTGGCCTGATAGACTCTGCAATTTGGACTTGCGACTTGGACTGGGAATTGGATTCTGGCTTTGACCACTTACTTTGTTTTCCTGGGTCCTGGTGCGTTATCTGTTATCCAGCTTCCCACACCCTGAACTCTTACATAACGTGGTGTTGTTGGTTCTTGCTCAAGTGTGCACATTCAAAAGTCTGCTGCTATGAAATTTGTGTCATTTCCCCTTTATGTCGTGCCTGAAGCCCCGACAGAGACAGCACCTCACGAGGAGGTCTTGTGCTTGGGACCCTGTATCCAAAAGCCAACCCCGCAACCTAGCTTGGGGGTGGCTGAGCAGATAGCTGCACCTCCCCCTGACACCCTGCCCATTGAGCAAACACCCGAGGCCACATCAAAGCAAGAGAGCCCCAAGAGAAAAGACACCATGAGTTCTACTCAGAAAGAGTCAGAGCAGGCTGTCCCTCCTCCCACTGACGCTGAACTTCCTGAACATGACACAGGAGATGCAGGGGGCGTTATAGACTTTACCTTAGCAACCAATCGTAGAATTCTAAGAAGATATGAGCAAAGGCAGGCCTTGTTACGTCAGAGGGAAGAAAGGCAGGACCAAGAGAGCTAGTCCCACGTGGGCTCGGGGAGAGACACCATTAGAAGATTAACATCTGCATTCCAAAGACCTCAACAGAAGAGCTTATCTAGAGTTGTAAGTCTTGTAGACAAGTAACAATAAAGGACTTTAGTTTTATTGCTCTTGAACATGTGGGTTGTTTACATGTTGAGTAGCACCTCAGCACTTTACTTACTGCTCTGCCATGAAATTTGCACATTCATTCATCACTGCCTTGACAGGAAACAACAGAAACCAGTGGTGGAAAGCAACAAACTCAAAGTTGGGGTGGAATGGATGAAAGTAAATGGCGGCTGCAGGACAAGGAGCTTTTCAGGCAGGAGCATTTAGTTTCACAGTACATGAAGCAGCCCCCCCCCCCCTTAAAGGTCCATACTAGCAAGATAAACAACAAAGCAAAAGATGAAATTGGCAAGCATATTGACACGAGGGGGATCATGTATGCTCGGTTAAATAATGAGCAAGCAGGATTACACTTTAGTATACTTGTGCAAAGACTCCAAATTATTTTTTAAAACAATGTAACAGAAAATGTTCAAATTTTGTTAGGTTCCTAAGGGCTTCAAAAAGTACAGTGCTGCTTTGTACTTTGAACTTAATTTGTCAATGGAGGCCATTTAAACTCTGAATTGTTCGAAGTCTGAATCAGTTTTGCCCATTAGAAATAATGGAAAGTGAATTAATCCATTCCCAGACCCTAAACAATACCCATTTCGGTAAACTTAAACAGCAAATACAGCCTCCTGAAATGAATTAAGTTTGAGGTTATATACGAGGTGTGATCAAAAAATATGGTGAATGTATAATATTTTTTTAAAATTACAGTAACAGAAACATTGTCCTTAATCCCCTTCAAAATACTCCTTCATCCTTTTGAACACAGTTACCCCAGTGCTGTCATGGCTGCCTCGATATCCTGATTTGATTAAAGAGGAATCGTTTCAAGACGAATTGATTCAGGACATTGAGGATTTTTTTTTTTTTTTTACTTGGGTACACAATCGATTTTGTTGCAACCACATTTTTTTCACTTCACTAGCACTTCAAACTTAGAAGTATTGTTTGAACTGTGGAGCGATTTTCTCTTGACTCTTAACGCTTGCACTCTGGATTGTTCAAAGTTAGAGTCGTTTGAACTATGAGGCACCACAGTATATGCGTTTGGCAATCTGATGCACGTTGCAGGAGAACTTCCATTCTTAAGCTGGCAACTCCAGAAAAGGTGCTAAAATTAAGAATAAAGACAGGTGCTGCAAAAATGTGCAGGAGGGGCTAGAAGGACTATGGGCGAAACAACCCACAGAAAGCATTCTGTCTGGCAGGAGTAACCTGGATTATCAAACAAACAACACATGGTGGTTTGTCTTTAGGATGGCTTAGAACTCAGCCATTGTCAAATGTGTCCTGCAATAAAGGAAGAAAATGCTGATTATCAGAATTGTTTATTGATAGCTAATAACTGAGTAGTTTGTTCCTTGATCCTTTTCTTGTCGTCTTCACCTGGAAAAAAATTGGTAATTCACATGCTTAGTTACAACTTTTAGAAATACTTTGTTCAGAGAGTCAGCTTTTTATTCAGCTTTTAATATTGTTTGGCATTGCCAGTTTTTGGGGGGTTTTTTGCACTATTTGTTAGCTCTAGAATCTGTCTTCTATGAATAAAAGGGCTCATGGAAGGTGCTTCTCAATTTTCAGGAAACCACAACTTATTACATTCAGTAGAATCTCCTAAATCTTCTTTCTTTGTAGCATTTGAGAGGTCTAGAAGTGTTCCTCTGGGGAGGAAGGTGTGGGAAATTGTGCTTCTACTAATCCAGTTGCACCCATCTGGATCTGCATCTGTTTTATTACCTGTTGTGTTTTGTGATTTTTTTAAATCTATTTTTGTTAGTCTCCTGTAAAGAAGATCCATGACAGATGTATAAGAAAATAAATGTTTATTTATTTAAGCTATTTGTTTACATTTAGCAATTTTTCACAGCAAATTTAATTCTGGTATATTTAATTATGTTCATTAGTCACCCATTGTTCCTCTTCTAGCACATACTCTTGTCTCAGAAGCTTTGCAGAATCAAAGTAGAAGGTGTACAGGAATGAAAGACTCCTTCCATTGGCTTTACCGTGGCCAGCCTTTCTGTATGAGAGAGGGGGTGGGGAGGGAAAGCCTTCCAGCTTTCAGATGGCTTGCTTTGATCTCTTACCTATTTCTTTTGTTGGCTACTTTTTGTCTTCACAAAAGAAATGTCTGATATAAATTGGAATTCTAGTATTTGCTTTGCAGTGTATAAACCTGTGCAAAAATAAGAAAAGTCCTGGTGGATTACAGCAAAGCCTTACAGTGGCCAGCCAGATGCTTGTAGGAACCCACAAGTAGGATACAAGAACACAAGATGTAATAACATCTTTCTACTTACGTTATGAGAAATCTAGACAGCATACTAAAAAGCAGAGATATCACCCTGCCAACAAAAGTGCATATAGTCAAGGCTATGGTTTTCCCAGTTGCAATGTATGGCTGTGAAAGTTGGACCATAAGGAAGGCTGAGCGCCGAAGGATTGATGCCTTTGAATTGTGGTGCTGGCGGAGACTCCTGTTAATCCCTTGGACCACGAGGCAATCAAACTGGTCAGTCCTAGAGATCAACCCTGACTGCTCTTTAGAAGGCCAGATCCTGAAGATGAAACTCAAGTACTTTGGCCATCTAATGAGAAGAAAGGACTCCCTGGAGAAGAGCCTAATACTGGGAACAATAGATGGCAAAAGAAGAAGGGGACGGCAGAGGATGAGGTGGCTAGATGGAGTCACTGAAGCAGTTGGTGTGAGCTTGGGTGGACTCCAGGGGATGGTGGAGGACAGGAAGTCCTGGAGGATTGTTGTCCATGGAGTCGCGATGGGCCGGACGTGACTTCACAACTAACAACAACTAACTTATGTTATAGGTGTATATATAGGCATACTGCCTCTTATACTAGAGGCAATCCATTATATAGGCTTTATGACTTCTGTCGCTGCTAGAAAATGTTAAAATACTTCAAGGGCACAATTCTTTACATGTTTAGACAGCAAACAAGTCCTACATGCATAGGATTGTACTTTTAACTTCTGCCACCAGAATAAACCTTATCTATCTAAAAGAATCAGTGGCTTGGTTTTGCCCAAATTTTATTTTCTCCTCTCAGGGAAGGGAGAAAAACCTGGGGGAATAGTTTTTTGCTACATCAAAATTTCTGGAAAGTTTATATCTTTAACCTATGTTCAGTGCTTTTTTTGTAAGAAAAAAGGTGCCAGAACTCATGAAATTATTTACCTTTCGTATGTAGTCAATCACTGTGTACACACCCACACACGTCAGTTGTGTAACGAAACATAATGGTTGCCACCCGCAGTAAGCTCAGCTCACGACTACATGACCAATCACAAGCCAAGCAGCACCACAAGCTGAGCAGCACCATCACAACCAGTGCAGACGAAGTACGCACGCATCAGATTCAACACACAAGCAGCCTGCATGCACCGTTTTAATGATTCTGCCGCCGACCTGCTATGCTTGACAGGGAGATTCAAATCCATGTGGACCAAACATCAAATTTTCAAAAGTTACTTTTAAAACTTTGAAAATATGTCGAAAAAAGGTGCCGGAACTCCATTTTGGTGCGTTCTATGACAAAAGCACTGCCTATATTGCCTGAGAATGTAAACAGAAAGCTGTTTGGTGCTCAAACAGCACTTATAAGGTCAGTCTGAATGTTATAATAAGCCATGGTTTATCATGATGGAAACAAACTGTAATTCAGCATTCCATTTGACCTATAAAATGTGGGTAATCTTGCCAAAGCAAACCAATTTTATGGTTTGAAGGTGATTTATTTCAATTTAACCTAAGTTAATATGAACCACCATTTGTTGTGTTTAGATGAAATGATACATTGTGGTTGGTCAAAAATGGAAGCAAAAGCTTCTAATCTCATCATAGCTGGAGGAGGAAGGCAGGAAGCATGCATGTCCTGGAGAAGAAGAGAGGGGGTAAACACCCTCTTGCTCACTTGCTTTCCATTACAATAAACCATACGTTTATCATGATGTCCAAACCCACTTGGTACTGCCTTGTTGCATTAAAAAGCAACATTTCCCTGTTTCCTTGCTATCAGTATTCTTTCATTAGATGTTATCCTTAGCACCCACATCTGTGGATAATTCTAATGTTTAGGACGCAGTAGAATGTCATATCATCATAAGTACCAAACGGAATATTGATACTTTGCAAATAAGTAACATTAATGCTTTTTGTTTTGTAGCTATGATTGAAGCACTACATGTTATGGTGCCTGAGAAGAAACAAGTGGCCATGCTCTTTCAGCCTGTTGTGCTTCAATGCCACTTTTCAACTTCTTCTACACAACCAGCTGTGGTGCAATGGAAATTCAAATCCTATTGCCAGGATCGCATGGGAGATGCTTTGGGAGTGGTCTCTGCAGGGATACAGGCAGTAAACAAGAGGAATCCAGAATGGGATCCCTATGTGGACTGTGTGGACAGCAGGAGAACAGTTCGCATTGTGGCTTCCAAACAGGGTCCTACAGTGACAATTGGAGAATTCTACAAGGGAAGAGATGTCACCATTGTCCACGGTAACCCTACCTAACTATTAGTTTATTAATGTTTGAAACACTTCTTTGCTTATTATGAAATATAAGGCTTAAGAATTTAAAGGACAAAACCTGTGTTTTGAAATTGACTTGGAGCCTGTGCAACCAAACATAATATGATAATAACACTAGTTTCAGATGAAGTAGTCTATTCTAGGGTTTATTACAGCATGTACAACTTACTCCAGATTGTCTCTGTTCAGGTAGAGCAACAGTTGGTATCATTAAGAGTGAAGTGAATTCATGAAATGTCTTAGGCCACATTACTGTCAAATTCACTTGGTCCACCTTGATCACAGAATCATAGACTTGAGTGGCATCAAGTCCATTTGTTCTAATCCAAGTTGTGACATAAAACAGGATGTCTTCCTCGCTGTCCCCCATAGTCTGGGTCCAACTTGGAATAAGTTCCCTAATGAACTTTGGAATGAAGAGTTTCAACTGAGGTGGCTTTTTTCCCCATCAATGTGAAATTAGTTTATATATTTCTTGTTGTTCATTCTGGAAAAGGTAACTGATATGTTCCTTACAAAATAAGAATATGAACACTATCCAGTGGTGCACAGTAGCTCTCTGGAGCATGTTGGGCCTTTACAATGATTTGGGGAGAAGTATCCTGCTCCTAGACCAGCAAGTGCTTCATCATTCTTGAGAAATTTTCAAGAATGATGAAGCAAGAAACCAGAATGTCCAGAGGTCATTCCACAGGTCCATCATACCAGTATCCAGGTCAGTCAGGGGTGTCCAGAAGAGTGGTCCTGGTGGGTCGCTGAAGGTCTGGAAATCTATTAGGCCCAGTAGAGCAAGGCAAAGCACAAGTTAAAATATTGTTTGCAGCAGCCAGCTAGTTCCAGCTGGGCTAATTTATAGCTGGTTATAAATCAGCACAGCTGGTTAAGCAGGTCAGCATGTTGCTTTTAAGGGAGGCCCCATTCTGTGTGAAGTTCTGCTGTGCTATGCTATTCCAAGGGTGAACTGTGACTTGCTCTGATTGGGGAAGTCCAGGCCTAGCAGGTGCCAGGTTGCTCTTCCATGGGAAGGCTGTCAGTTGAACCCTCCAGTTTCCTGCCTGGCTCTTGCTGGGTCTGCAGTGCTGGGCTCTCCTCCTCTTTTTCATCAGACAAGTCCTCCACCAGGTATGATATTACAAGAACACAAATCTACTCCTGCCAATGACAACTGATGATGGAAACTTAGTTTCCAGTCTTCCTTCATCTCTGTGATTTTATTGTTTCTCTTTCAGATGCAGATCTCCACATTGGAAAATTAATGTGGGGAGACAGTGGGCTGTACTACTGCCTCATTATCACACCTGATGATGTGGAGGGCAAAAATGAAGAGTCAGTGGAGCTGCTTGTTCTGGGTGAGTCATTTCAGTGTAACCTTCATTACAGCTTGTGCCCAAGATGCTTGCCTGCACAATCACTTTGCACTGTTTTCAGATTGCCATGTAAGAAAGGGTGGTGGAATGCCTAGCTCAATGAAAAAAATGCACTGAAGCAAAATTCTGTGCTCCAATCTTTATTTACTTAAATTATTTAATCCTATTTTACCTTCTGTGAAACTCAAGATGGCTTAAATTTAAATAAAAAGAAGAAATGCATAATTAAACTACTTGTACACTAGATCCAGTATATCACAGTATCAATGCCCGTGACGACGATAGCTGGAGAATGTGCAAAATTATCAGGAAACCTGGTCAGGGAAATATGCAGCTGTGAGCCACAATACTAAAATCAAAACAAACACAAAAAATGAAACTGGGGTTAGTGTAAATTGATTTGCCTGATTTTCTAGCTGTTATGGAAAACTGCAACACACACACAAAAAACCGGAGGGAGGACAAAGGGACCACAATGTAATAAGTGCAAATCTAACTTCAGTGGGGGCTAATCAGTTCCCAGATCTTCTGTAGATGTACTATAGATGTCAGCTGCTGGTTCTTTCCAGTACAAATGGGCCCTCCTGTTGGATCCAAAGATGTTTCTCCACACATGGAAGGAGTCCTTTTCTTCTCTGAACAGAAGGGCACAATTTGGATCCAATCCTTCTCTTTTGAACCACTTTATATTGGTGTTACAATGTTACTGAATAATAGTATTAATAAATCCACCGATAATTAAGGCATCTTTGACAATCAAAAAAGGGGCACATGAAAGCACAGTGGTTTTCTTAATGTACATTTAGCTTTCTTAATGTGTTCATATAGTAATGGGAAGTCATCATGCATATTATATATTAATGTGTTAGATTCTGTGTGTGTGCACGCACGCATGCATATGCACACTATATTGAATTCTGTGCTATATTAAATGCACTGCAAGGCTCAAATGATTACACAGAGAAAATATAAAGACACAATATTCCTATAGCTTGTTGTCATGGAGGATTTTATGAATATTTTTTAGCTTTTCAAAATGTATCTGGCAGTGTTTGTTCTTTGTTCGAAGAAGGCCAGAGCATATAGATGGGAAGCAAAGATAGGAGGTGAATTTGGAGAAGTATATAAGTACATCGGTTCAAATCTAAATTGGACTTAGTGTTTGCAAGAGAAAAATATGTATCTGTCCTTATACTATTGTGTTTCTATTGGGGCTAGTCTTTTTTACATGCAGTCTAGTGATTACTAGGATCAGGGAGATCTGAATCTAAATCTGAATCACGGCTCTGCTGAGCCGTGAAGCTCAGTCTATCATTGGATAACCTTAAATAATACCTAAGATTGAAACCCCATACAGCTGGGGCAAGGGTGGGGGAATTCAACTGAATTTCGTGTGTCTGGAAGGGGCGGGGGAGTGTCTCATATACAGAGGGAAAGAGGTATCCAGTGCCGCAAACTCAACACACTTATCGTTCTGATGCTGCCCACAGTTGTCCTTGCTCCACCCATAGAAAATGGTTCCACACCCTTGCTATGCACACCTGCCTGGAAATAATTCCCACTGAATGTTGACATTAATAAACTTGTGGCATAGACATTTCATATGTGGAGATGATAAGGGTTGATATAAAATGAAAATACTAGTGACTGTAGGGAGGCAGGATCAAGAGGCTTCATGTTCTGCATCGGACTTTCCAGTGCATATAACCAGCAACAGTTGAAAACAGGGTGTTGAATTAGGTGGAACTTTGGTCTGTCCTACCAGGCACTACTTGTATTTTTCATGTGTGGATTTAATTTATCAGAAAACCTGTATTTGGGAATGTGCACACCTATGCACACACATTTCCTTGCCAGTTCTTACCATTTCTTTTCAGGGCACAATATATCACTTGAAGGAGAAAACAGGCACAAACAAATTAGAATTTGTTGGAAAATTTTGGTGGTTCTGGGAGCATTAATGTCCCCACCCCACTATTAAGGAATTGTAAGTAGAATATCTAAGTTCTAGGAGAATAACACTGTGAGGCTTTGGTTTTCTATTCAGATAGGAAGCTGAAGAGTATGCAAACCTAGAACAGTAAAGGCATTAGGGGCTGCCCCAGGTGGCGCAGTGGTTTAAACCGCTGGGCTGGTGGATCGAAAGGTCGCCGGTTTGAATCTGTACAATGGGGTGAGTGCATGTTGCTCCGTTGCAGCTCTTGCCAACCTTGCAGTTCGAAAGCATGCAAATGCAAGTAGATAAAAAGGTACCACTTCGGTGGGCAGGTAACAGTGTTCCGTGCACTTCGGTGTTTAGTCATGCCGGCCACATGACCACGGAGACTGTCTGTGGACAAACGCTGGCTCCCTTGGCTAGGAAACGGAGATGAGCACCTCCCCCTAGAGTCAGGCATGACTGGACTTAGTGTCAAGGGGAAACCTGTACCTGTACCTTTACCTTTATCCATTCTGCAACGCTGTCTATATATTCTGATGTGGAAACAGGACAAAACAAACTTAAATTTGACAAAAACTGAAGAGAAACCCTAATGATGAAATGTATGTGGGATATAGAAGAATCCTTCATGGTAAGGCTCTACTTAAAATACGACAGTTTAAAGATGCCTCTTTGATTTTGCATTATTTTGCTGAAAGGCTGCTAGTATTCTCTCAGAAACTGCTTATCACAGTGATTAAAACAGGTGTTGGTATTTTTTGATAGGCATGGGATGCTAAAATCCTAGGATTTAGTCAATTGAAATTCTAAACTACTGATTGACAACTTGCAACTCTGGGAACAAATCTTGAAGGGTTGATGCCGCCATACTCCAGTGGTAGTTTTGGCAAGGGTACATTACAGCTGGTCACCTGGTGGCCCTATAAATCACGGAGACACTAACAAAGCTAGTTTCTCTGAATCTGCCATCCTTTGTTCACTCACTTTTTACAAAGAATCCAGATGATGCCATTCATTGACTCATTGCAATCAAGTATTTTGTTTGTTTGTTTTCAGACTACACACACACACACACACACACACAGAAATTGCTTGCAATAAAATGTAGTTTCAGCACTAGGCTTTCTAATGTGGATAGACAAACTGCTGTTGACGTTTCCTGTGCCCATAATGAAAAGTTTCCTTCTTGCAGATCCTGTCCATTTTATTGCTTTCAGGGAGATTAATGATGAATAACCTATGGTCAGTTTCTGTTCCTAAAAGTCAGGAAAAGAGTTTCATTTCTTATTTCCTAGTATCATTTTTTCATTTTTCTAACAAAATAAAATAAAATAGTATAAAAAATGGTGGAGCAGTTAAGGCCAGCCATTCCAGGGACTATTAAGAGGATAACCCAGACATACATGACCTGCAAAAACCCCTTAATTAACATTGAAAAGGTCCTTTTCTGAATGAAAATTGTGAGTAAATATTATGTCATGTCATATGTGGAGGCATGAGCAAAGGCATGTCATGAGTGGAGCTGGCTGGAGCCGAGGGGTCAGACTAGATGGCCCAGGAGACCCCTTCTGATTCACTCCGTTACTATGTTTCTATAACACAATTTCAAACAGTGGCAAGGCTAGTGCTAAAAGTTATATAGTTTATATATTATATAGTTAAGTGTAGTTATGTAGATTCTCCATTTTCCCACTTCTTGTTATTTATGAAAACAAAGCTTTTACAGTGCTAAAGGGTACTCATGCAAGCAACCTGAAAAAGACCTTTCCTGTGACTCTGGATCAAGCAAGTGAGACCTGGATGAAAATGTTGCAGTATGGAATGCTCCTTGTTCAGGATGTCAGCTGCTTTATTCCATTCATCTGCTCTCCCTTTTTCACCCTCCCCTTCTCCACATTTTGTCAATTTTTTGAGACCACTGAACACACAGGGTCCTCAATGAACTGCTCCGTGATTTACTTCATAAGATAAGATGTACTAAGGCAAACTTCAGTGTTTCCTAGATCTGCTGATTCCTCTCTCTTGTGTATGGGTGGTGCCATTTTGGCTATATAAGCAATGACAGCTACAGCCTGAACTTGAAAAATAAACAGGATGTATTCTGAGATGTAGTTTAGGGAACTGCAAATCTGTCTTGGGCAGAGTGGGAGTTGGGGGACAGAATGTGTAATTTTACTCCTTCGTGCTGTTTTCTCATACATGGGGGGGGGGTGTTTCCTGATGTTTGAAAAAGCATCTGTTTTACATCTGATTCCAAAAAAGACCCAATATTTATTTATTTATTTGGAATTCTTATATGCCACCCCATTCGCATAAGCCTCGGGGCGGCTTCCAACACATAAATAAATATCAATATAAATACATAAAAACTGGAAACATCCTGGCATAAATTATAAACTCAATAAATAAAATAAGCAATTAAAATAACATTTAAATAAAAAGGTCTTGGCCTGGCGCCGAAAAACAAATAATGATGACGCCAGGCGGACCTCCCTTTTCTGTTGTTATTCTCTCTCATCATAGGAATCATCCTTTTCTACTGATTACATTGCTGATGGGTGACCAATTCTGGGTATTCCAGAGTATTGCTGGTTTGGTCCTCAGTAGGCCAATGCATATCATGAAGCTCTGACCAGTTTGAGTTAGACAGTTTGGCAAGAGCATAGCATGGCATGCAGGTTGAATCAGTGCTTTATATGATGGGCCTATGTCCCATAGACCCTGCCATGCATTTAGCAGCATGCATCACTTAGGATGATAAGGCAAAATGAATGTTCTTTAAAATAAGCACAATTTTCTGTGGGCATCTGTGAATGCATGTTTTGAATGGTGGCATGGTGGTGGTTCTCATTTCTCCTCTGCAGGTCACTCCAGCATTATGCAGCTTTTCCATCAATCTTTCTACCGCTAACCAAAATGGCATTCCTGGCAACTCTCTGTCCAGTCCTACTATTGACTCTTTTGCTTTTCTTCCCTTCTTTAACTTGCTAGCCTCAACCACATGCTGATAACAAAGGATACCAGCACAATTCAAAGGCTTCAG